CATTAAGGGGAGAGAGAGAACGAAAACTGTTTCATGTGTTCATATTCCCTGATGGTGCCTAAGTTCTCAAAGTAACCTCAAATGATTCGCATGCATCCGTATAAATAAATTTAAATGAAGAAAATTCACACCCTCCATTTACAGAAAGACTTCAGAAATGGGAAAAAAAAATAATGCAACATAAAAGCTGAAAATCTGGTATATTCTTTGGAGTCGCAAGTAATCAGTAACTCAGCTCTACAATCACAAAAGGTCAAAAAATATAATGCGTTACCTGTATATTCCAACCACGAGTTAAAGAAGCCCCACAAAATATTGTAGCAGCGGATATCTTCTCATCATCCAAACCAGTCAAGGCAATCTCATACATTTTCTCTATTTCTACCAAGCTTCCATCAAATCACAAGCTTAAAATCAGTTGCCTTACCACTGGATAAATTAACAAAATAAAAAAAAACCTGATACACATTTTTTTTTTTTTTGATAACCGTGGATGTTCGGGCCATTTTACACGCACCTCGACTAATCCCACGGAGCCCTGAAGCTTACGGCCACCTCAGTGGCCTGAAAGGATTCGAACTAGTGAGCATTGGGGAGCAAACCCAAGGCCTGACCAATTGAGCAACCCCTCAAGAAGTCAAGGTTACTTACATCTGATACACTTGGCTTCAGGAAAGAGATAGATCTAACAGAAGACTAGGCATGGTTGAGAAATACACTGGAAGATAAGGGTTAATTACACAATTTTTACCTCACGTTTTACTGCTTACAATCTATTAATTAGGAACAAATTACACAATGATGTTAAGCCATACTCATCAAAAGGCTCATTTCAGGGTTAAAGTATGTCCTTTAACCTCCAGGACCTAGGTTTCATTATCAGTGAATTTATTGGATCCCAGCTAGATGGTAACACTGGTACCCAAAATGGCCTTTCAATCTCCATTTCCTTTAAAAAGATTTTTTAAAAACTCTCCATACATATCTCATTTCATAAAATGCTATTTTCTCTTGCAAGACAGGCAACTGTGTTATAGGGCTACACTGATAACTCAAACCTAGAACCATATGTAGATCTGTCATTGCAAAGCTATTTTACCTCTGGGGCAATATATCATACAACAAGCCAATGAACTAATATAAAAATCTTCTGAAGTTACAAGTGCCTTCATACCTAGAAGCCGGAGTTGATACCAAGGCGCTGACCATTGGAGGAGTTAAAGGGGACCCTTTCATTAATGATGACCAACCAGGCATCTGTCCAGAAATGCTTCGAGGAACTTGGTTGCTACGACCTTTTAGATATCCAGGCCACAGATAAGCAGACGTGTCCAACACATTTCTAGCAATGCAAGCCTCAACAATCAAATCGCGCAGATTTCCAGCTGTAAATGATTACAAGAATTACGAGGAGCCAATTAACCATAAGGACAGTTATCCACCATATGTAAACATATACGCTATTGCATCCTTGTAATTCTTGTAATGGATAAGACTTAACAAAAAAGATATCAAAAGCAATGGAAAATAACAATCGTATAGGTAGAAAGAGGAAAAGGAGGCATGGGTAAGACAAATTGGAATCCACCATGTGAATAAGTTGATAACTAAAGTAAATGGCAGTGAACAAGAAAAGAGAGAATTAGTTTCCCTTATTATCTCAAGCAAAAAGTATTGCACTATATAGGAATGGCTGAGCAGAATTTATTCAACCAGAGGATTGCATTAACAAATCCCGTAGCAAATTTAACAATCTCAGGTTAAAAAGGATAAATGACTGAATAACTTCCAAAGAGACATTTATGAACTAGAAATTTGCAAAAAGCAGCATGCAAGAAGGTCCAGGCAACTAATTAAAAAAAGGGAGATGCTACGTGTACATAATGGTGTACACATAGCATTTTTCTTAGAAAAAATAAAATCATTATCACTTCCATACAGATAATGAGGAGGTCACTCACAACAATTCACAGGCATGTCATTCAAACTCATGCCATCAAGCTGTCCACCGCTAACTGTTAGGCCTGAAAGGAACATCATTGCTTTTGCAGCAGCTTTATTAGCCAATGAACTTACAGGAGGTGGTGGAATCAGCAAGCCTTCAAAATCATCCAACTGCTGTAAACTGGAAACTAGGTCTCGCCGATGCTTTCCCATAGACTGTACATCTTTCCTTTGACTGATGGAGCTTCGTTCAGTTTCACTGATCAAAGAAATCTCCTCCTCTTCAATAATATTGACAACTGCGAGTGTCGTTATAGACAATAACATGCACAGACAAGTATCAAGCCGAGGAACAGGACCCTCGCTTGAATTCCTTTCCTGAACAGATCCAAAGCAATGCATCACAATATTGGATAGTTCAAAAATGAATTTTCTAGAGATGGAAAACTTCTTATGACATCTATATCAAATGCTGTGAATTAATTAGAACTTTTATTAGATCACTCTCTTAGTAACATATCAAAGCGTATCAGCAGATGGTATAGGGAAAATTGATCTGCTGCCAATACATGTGAATAAGCCGAAACTCTCGTGACTTTGATTATTACTAGCAAGGGACTAGAAAATATGTGATAACTCCTAGAAAGGGGCTTAAAATATATGATTACTACAATAAATTTTTGCAGTTTCTTTTATACAGGAAAAAGAAATTTCCCAAGTACAGAATTAGCCAGCCTCTGGAAAACACGGCAAGAAGCAGGGAAATTACACAGTTTTCTACTTTTACTCCTAGGATTCAATGCAATCACATCACATAGCATATCTTTCCTCAATCCCAAGGGAATTAAAAAGATGGAATTCACTTAGTTTTAAATTTGGAAAACTAGTATTTCTTTGATTCTTTTTCTACGTAAGCTCTTACCCTTTGAACAAGACGTAGAGCAGCAATCCACAAACCAAGAAATGCATCCTCCCAGGTGGTCTGATTTAATGCCTGGAGAGCCTTCACTAAACCTGAAGTACTCCTCTGTGTCAGAAAACCATGCCCAAATAAATAGCATGTATGAATACTAAACTATAACTCTATGTTAACCATACCTGTAAGAGTTTCAGCAGCACTGGTAGCTGCCACTTGTTGTCCATCCATTGCATCTTCAAGATAAAGATCTATAGTAAGCCAGAGTGCTGAACGGCCAACACCATGACACTGACCAGCAGAAGACACAGGAGACCCAGCTGTTATAGCATGAAATTGTTGCTGCAAATTTGTTTTGCATTTACGTGATAGGACTTGACGTGTATCAGCTGTTAACTGCAAGAGGGCCTCTGGAGAAATATGTTTCGAGTTTCTTAAAGATGACGAATGAGCAGCAAGCAGACGCAAGTTCCGAATAAAGCATTCCCAATGCGTGGGCCTAAAAGAAAACATAGAAACACGTGTTTTAACTACAGTGTATAACCATGCAGAAGTCCAACAACCATATTTTGTACACCCTCAGTCCCACAAAGATAGGCTTACTGTCCATTTTTGCTTGTTCCAAATTATAGGTCACTTTCCTTGTTGAGAATATAGTTGATTTCTTAGTTTTCTAATATGCCCCTATTTAATGTGCCTTATTATCAATAAATATGAATTACTACTATCTAAATCATTATTTAATGTAGGGGTATACTAGGAAAAATATAAGTAAAATTTATATTTTCAACTATATTACTTACATTTTTTTAATCTATGTGAAAATGGAAGTGAGCCTATCTTTATAAGACAGGGGGAATAATAAGAATCTCAAGAAACTACTACGAACATCTCCAACAATGCTCTTTATTTTAAAGTGCACTTTTTTTTCTAAATACAGAGTATCTTGAAGATCTTTTTTAAAAAAAGAGAGAGAGAGAGAGACATTTAATACAAGATCAGCAACACTATATTAGTTTTTATTTCGCTTTTTCCCATAAGCAATTATTGCTTAAAGGAGAAAAATCTGTAAAAACCAAAAAAGGTAGCAATAAAAGGAGTAAAATATTAAAATTATCAATAATTAGATAGTGATAATGGTACATAGAAATTTGTAAAATAATAAATGAAAGAATAAAAAGTAGTATATAGAGAGTGGGTATGGCTATCTATGGAGACACAAATCCACTCTTCATTTTAATTTATACATATTGAGAGTTTGTTGGACTCCTCAAAAAGAGGATTGACTTCCTTAAATAAAGAGTATGGAGTTAATAAAGAGCCTTTTGGAGATGTTTTAAGTATTTACTCATGACACATTCAGCATAGAATGATGCAAAAACTTTTAAGCTGAACTCAAACAGAAGCAACATTTTACATGTTTCTACGAGCCAAATAGAGGATCCGGGAAGTTATTTTATTCCGAAAAAATTCACCAATTATTTCAAGAGCCGTTATGGTATTCATTTTATGCATTGCTTCTTGGCGTTCCATTCTCTTCCCATCAAAGCTATCAGGATTGTCTATTTCCATGTCCTGACTCCTGGTAAGCCACCTTGATTTCTTCTCAGAAGTGAGTTCTAGCAAACCTTCATCGTCAAGCGACGCATCAAGTAGCTCCCATACAATGGAAAATATAAATTCAACAACAAGAAGCCCAGGATCAGATGACTGAATTTCGAATATCTGGGAATAATGAAGGACATCATTTATGGATTCCATAATCCTGCAATTGGATGATCGAAATTAGCAATCAAGCAAGTTGGCAACAAAAACTTGTTCTAAATACCAAAACATATGATAATTCAAGCTCATTAAATAAAATACAGGCAATTTTTTTGACTTTCTGGTGTCATTATCAATACTGTTCTGAGATTGTTCAGTTACTAAACAAATAAAAACTAGGAAATTATCAATTTTTAACTAAAATAAGTGGTTGCAAACATTTGTGTTGAAAACATATTTTACAGCACCATTTTCAGAAATGCATTCAAAAGGATTTATGAGTTTCAACTTTCAACTAAAAATTCAAACATATTGGAGAAGAGTTTCTGGATGTAGAGCTGTGAATTTGAAAACTAAGAGGTACATAATCCAGGAATTCATTTATTCAGCATCATTTTGGTGGTAATGAAGAACAGTATGCTATAGTATTTTTTCCCGAGGAACAAAAGACACCATATCTCTATTCAGTTCAGCATCCAAATTATAATCCAGCAGATGGAGGAAATAAACTATTTATTCCTGTCTGATCCTAAGCATCATGTCAAAGGACTTTCTAAAAGATTGAATACTCCCGTGGTTCATTATCCAAGTAAATCTACCACTGTTTGAGGAGCTACCAACGTGTGTACTTACTGACTACTATAAAGTGGATGTCAACAGTTAGCTAATATATTAGACTGGAAACCCCGGCTGACAGCTAATGAATTAATGGATGTTAAATGCCGAGATAGCATGTGTGACAAATTGACAAAGATCTGAGTGTTCAGTGAAACAATAATTATTCAACCAAATGATCTTCAGATTTTCCAGAAAAGAAGCAAAAAAGAAAGAGCTTCATAAAATATCCTACTTTAATGCTACCATCTTTGTACCATTCGCATTTCTAATGAGTAATGAGGACAAGGTACAGTAAAAATCAAATAGAAAAGTCAAACTTGCTATAAAAAAATATTAAATTGTGGATTTGTTCTTTTCCTTGATATCTAAACAGAGGATTAAGAAGGATAAATGTAAAATTTAACCCTTGAAGTTCACTAAAGGTTTATGGGAGTATGGGGTTACATTCAATCTGGGAAGATGTTGCACGAACTGATATCATATATATTAAGCAAAGAACAGTATTGGTCACTTGAAAATTACACAAATACACGTGGCAATAAATTCCACAGCTTGTCCATACTGAACAACGGGTTAGGTAAGTAAAACAAGAATGCATCATAATCAAGAAAGAATACTTTCATCATTTAGTAACAAAGGTAGAACAAGAACTTCAGGGACCAGCAGAGGTGGAAGGGAAGTGGTCCAAGGGGCAGGAGTCCAACAAGTAACATGAACTTTCCACTAAATAGAAAGTAGAACAAATCAAGTGTCAAGGTGTCATAGAAAACCCTTCAATTTTGATGCATGAAAGGTCCAAAATTGTTATTTGAGTCTCAATGCACCAAAAACCTATTAGTCTCTCAACCCGATGACAGAGAATTGCATGTGAATTGTAAAGAAACATTACTCATTTCCACATGTAGAAATGTGTTTTAACCTTCGTGTTAGAGATCTAGCTACTTAGTGCTAATCGGTTATTACCCTTTGTAATCAACCTTTACTCTTTTGGAATATTCTTTAGAGTCCTAGTAATGTTGTTTTTCATCTGCTTTCTTTATTTCTCAGAGCACCAGCTGTAATTAACAGGTGTCTCTATTCCATAGGCAGAGATTATTTCGGCAACATTTGTTACTCCTGCTTTGCATATATATTCCATGTGATCAGTTCTAAAGATTTCATTTGATTTAGCAAATAAGAACTTCCTCCCATATCTCTGTTTTTCAACCAATTGAAGCTTACACGAATACACAAGGCATTAAATTCCATAGCTTTCCTATCCTGAATAGTGGGTAAGGATGTAACATTAGAAACAAGAATGCATCATCCAATTGAGAAGCACACTTTCGGCTTTTGGTAATGAAGGCAGAACAAAAACTTCAGGGACCAGCACAGCAGAGGTGGAAGGGAAAGCAACGAAGGGATAGGAGTCAGACAAGTTTCTTAGTGTCATAGAAAGCCTTCAATATGAAGCAGGAAAAGCCCCAAATTGTGATTGATGCCCCAATGCACAAATTGATATATTACTCTTTCAAACATATGTCAAAGAATCACGTGTTAATTGAAAATGAAAACTTACTTTTCATCCACAAATATCACTGTGCAACACATAAAGACTGCTTAGATAATTCATAACATCCCAGATAGTGTTTTTTCTTGGTTATTTTTTTCAAAATTTCTAAGCATTTCATCTTTATTCTTAACCAAAATACATCCTTAAAGGCTTCAACAGTAGATAATCGTTGAAATGCTCCTCCCGGTTATATATGCAATGGATACGAACAAAGTGTAATAATAGTACACAACACATAAAGCATCACAAATAAAGAGAACCGGGCGTTGAAACTATCTACCAAACTGTCATAACTGATCGCCAAAATTAGGAAAGACAATGAATTCTTACTTCTGATAGTTTGGGCCATTAATTAGAGATGGCAATGAAAAAGCATATCTTTTTAGAAGCTCCATGTATAACCTATATGCCACCGGATACCTACTGCGACTGGGTATTACCCTGCACAACATAAATAACGCAAACACATAAATACATTACACATGAGAGTGTGTACTATGATCAACAAATTAGGAGATATGAGAATGGACCTAGTGGAGAGAAGCGCAATAACAAACATGGGCGGCACTATACGGATAGTCAGAGCCTTTTCAAGGAATTTCCAGGCTATGGGTACATTGTTGGACCAGCAAATGTGCGATACAAGAAGCTCCGCCACCTCGGTGGAGGGCATGGAAATTCCAGCGGCGGTGAGGTTAGAAGAAAGCTGCATGGCCCACATAAGAGGGTCGGTGCCCTTCTCCTGAGCGGCCTTTGTGAGCTCCAATACTCCATCCCACAGCCACTGCTCCGTCGCCATAATTTTTCAATCCAAAATTGATTTAGGGCAGATTATTATCCAGCTGTGTGAGAATCTGTTACATGTGGAATAAGGAGAATTTAGTGGTGATGAAATTTAGTTCAGAGAGCCACGGGATAATTTGAAACGTGCAGAAGTCAATCAATTTGGCGTTAATTTCTGGGATTTTCTTTTAATTTTGGTTAATTAAAAATGATCCTTCACCTATCAAATAGGTACGAAATTGGTCCTTCAAATTAGGAAAACTACAGATAGGTCCCAATACTTAAGAAAAAGTACAAATGGGAGTATTTTTGTTTTCATGGTTATGAAGCACTCAACTTGAGATATTCCAACTTTTTTTACTTTAATTTTGTCAAACATGATTTAGAGCTTGTTTGGGAGAGATTTTTTGGGGAAGAATTGATTTTGAATAGTGATATGATGGGAAATGTATGATTGAAAAAGAAGAAAAAATTATTGATGTGATGGAAAATATTATTTTATTAAAGAATGTGTGGTTGAATGTATAGTGATATGATGGGAAATGTATGATTGAAAAAGAAGAAAAAATTATTGATGTGATGGAAAATATTATTTTATTGAAGAATGTGTGGTTGAAAATGAGAATTGATTTACTGTAGAAAAATATAATCCCTCCCAAACAGGGCCTTACATTCTTTCATAAGAATATTTACTTTTCTTGTTTTAAAAAAAGAAAAAGAACCCAACTTACGTAACTTTTAAGCACGACAATCAATGTGGACTCTATTTTTTGCTTTTGTATTTACTTTGGACATTCTTTTCGATCAATTTTTCAGTATAAAATGTTGAATCATTCACTGCTTTTGATGATTGAAAGGAACAAGGACAGTTGTAAAGCGGATATTTGTCCTCTAATCTCGAGTTATGCGCAGTTGAAGCTTGAGTCATGAATTCATATTTGCTCATGAGTGGACGGTATGAGGTACAATTTGGAAGAGGAGGCTGCGAAATTTGCTGAAGAAGCCCATAGCGATATGCTGAATTAGTTTATTAAGTACGTCAAGCATCGAACAAGTTCATAACCAATAATTGTCAAGTTCATGCTGAATTTGGTTGTCTTGAAGTTGTTAATCTTAATCCAGCATATTATTGGGTTACATGCCAGAAATAAAGATGAAAACTTCCATACTGTGTGAGACATTCACCTCAAGTTCAGAACCAATATGATTTAACGTAAAATCTCAGTCGAGATAATATTTAATAAGTAGAAACGGGATCTAAAAACATGATAAAGCACCATTCAGACCGTCCCAGAAAATCTGTATTCAAGTCCAATAGTTAGAAAATTCAGGGCAACAAGAATGAAGTTCCAGGCGTTGTTCAGCTGCTTTTACATTATTGAGCAGCTTCGTGCATTCTCATCATTGAATGAGGTGAAGCCATCATCATATGTAGGCATTGGCCTTTCTGAACCGAAACCATATGCAGCAGGCCGTGGCATCCTCGGTGGCTGAAGGTACGTGTCATCCATGAATGGATAATGCCCATCTCGAAACCTAAAATTTGTCCCATGATAATGTCCCTGTGCAAAATGACCAAACATGCCTGCACTTTCCCTCTCAGGCATGTGATCGCGATACATATTCCTTGGATGATGAATTTTGCAGTGTTCATCTCTACATACATGGTCGCCAGCCTCTGGTGGAACGTGATTCCGAAATCTATTGAAATTTTCGTCTATCTTGGGACCATGTCGATTAACGTGATCATGAAATCTGTGAAAGTTTTCTTCCATCTTGTGGCCATTAAAATCTTGGCAAGAACAGTTTTTGTGCACCCCTTTCGGGTGTTCTTGATCAACATATTCTCTGCCATTCCTAGGTTGTCTGTCATGGGACAAAATTTCTGCATTTTTGCCTAATTTTGCTATAATAGCTGTGACAAACATAGGATCCACTTTGCCTTTAACAAGAACAAGACTCCTTTCTGAATCTATAGAAACCTTATTCACACCTAGAACCCAAAATTAAAAATAAATAAATAAGTAAAATCTATGTCTACGCATAATTATACACGAAAACAATGCATACTAGTAAAACACACTAAAAAGTACCAGGAATTTTTGATAAATCTTTCTTCAGTTTCTTCTGGAAGGCTTTACAGCAAATGTTTTCCACTTTGAAAACAATATTCTGCATTCAAACAAAGAGCTCGTTTATCGTCTATTTGGTAAGGTAAACTACACATTTTTAGTACTAGAAAGATTCATGTACATCGGTCCATTATCACGTATCAAAAATGCTCTTAAGATTTAAATTTGAACAAAAAGAAAGGGAAAAAAGGGTTACCGGTTCGGGATTGTGATATTCCATTGAAAAAACTTGATAAAGAGAAGTAATTAATAAAATTCGTCTTGCCCTTTGAACTCGAAAACTCCTTGCACGTTCTGCTAAGAATTTCTTAGGAGGCAAGAGAGAAAGATGGAAGAAAAAGATTTTTCATTTTAATTATGGAGAGTAAATTGGGTTTTTATTTTCATAACAAAATAAAATTAACTTTCCTTACGTAATTGGCCGTTCAATTTAAAACTAGTAATCCAAAAATGGAAATTTAGACTTTAGGGAGCAATGCCAAATATATAATCCTTAATTTCAATACTTTCCTTTATTTTTTTTTCTGAAAATTTAATTTCAATATTAACAAAGCCATGGGTTCCTTTTGATCTCGTGAGAAAATATAGAGATTTTATGCAATCATACATTAATAAGACTAATAAACCAACTTTTTCTTGTCGTAAACTATGGATTTATCGAAAAATAGATATGAATGGAGCACGAAAGGGGGAAATAGTTGAGACAAAGTTAATCTCAATGACATACCTATCATTTGTTCAATTGAACTTGGTTTACGATCGATCAATCATCCCTTGAAAACTTTCGTTAATAGTTCTTGCAAGTCGAGCACCAATCTCAAATAAAAAACACGAGTGCCCTCTTGGCTGTCACAATATTGTGTAGAAATCGCAACATTTCTTAGTAATAAAGAGTAAAACGTTCCATATTTTTCCAGAGGACAAATCCACTACAGAGAAATGAATCCAAAGGACATTCTTGTGATATTTGGATGAACGATTGAAATTAGCCACCACGAGCTTCTCTTCTTGTGGCATCATGAAGCAGTTCCACATCAACTCCGTCTGGTGGCAATTGGACGTACCTCACCACTGATCCTCTGATGAAGCAGTTCCTCACAGAAAGCTGCCATAGAACAAATGATCGACAAAAAATTCCAACATATTTAGCCAAAGTACATTACAAAAGAACACGTAAACACAGTATTTTGGAAAGACTTGTATCAGACTGAAAGAGCAATGATATAGTCTCAAAAAGTTAAAAATGGTGCCTTGTCTTATGCAGCATCACTTCAATATTGATCCAAACCTTTTCGAGTGCAATAAACCCCCACCCCCAACAAAAAGAAGAAAAAGATTAAAGCTTTTTCCACCAAGAGAATCCAGATAGATCCAACTTTGTTGAAATCTAACTTCGGACACACTTAAAAATGTTCTCACTTTTTTTTTTCCACCAAAAGTTCAAGGCATCAGGCACAAATATATTTGATTGACAAATGAGTTTATTAAAAGCGGTTCCAAATAGTAGGCTATAAGTGGAGACAGAATCAATGCCCAAAAATGGGTAATGTGCCGGTAAATAAACACTTTCAGTTGCACATCATTTGCGTAACCGCTAACACTGACAATCCTCTATATCTAAGAGCCATACTGCATTTGCAAATTTTATTCCGATGACTGGTGATTCAGAAGGAGCTAAATTACGCATTTAAACTTGATATGATTATCCACTGCGAATGTTTATCTTACAAATATAAAAAAACCTATACCATACATACCCGAGAAATACCAAAAATGAGTAAGTGATGGAAAAGCTGGACATAAAAATCCCACGACGACACAATTCTGTCTTGACAGCTTTCCTTTTCTTTTTTTGAGATGAGGGGGGATAAGAAACATATACTGATTGTTTATACGTGATATACATAAAACTCTTCTTGCAGATTTGATGAAAGCAGTGTTCAAACAAGAATTTCTCAGATGGTTAGTTGATGCTCTCTCTCTCTCTCTCTGAGGTAGGTCCTTTTGCTATTTCTTTTGATTTTTTCAGGGGAGGGGGTGTAGGGTGTTGAGCAAGTGATGTCTACGCAACCCAACCTGAGAAAAGTGGAAGTGCTGTCCGAACAACACCATTGGGCAGGAAGACGTTAAATTTAACATTTGGATTCCAAATAATTCAATCAGATAAAAAATACGCTTAAGACATTATTATTCTGTTTATAAAAATGTATATTTGTATCACCATTAGAACTTAAGAATCCTCCCTACGGTCTTGGATTTATGGAATTCGGACATGTGACTATTATCCCACCTGCTAAATTGATTGTGAAGGACACTATCATTACACATTTTGGAGACTAATGAATCTTATAATATTAAACATTAGTTGTTGAACTAAACTTAAATCCCCTAAGGTTTACAATGGATGCATTTGTGAGAAGTAAAAGAAAATCTTTGTTATAACTAATTTCAAACAAAAGCTCAGAACCAAATTTCATTATCTTCACATCTTTAATTTCCTTTAATTTCCATAATCACTCCCAAACCCGTTTCCATTGGGTCAAATTTCATTGGCGTCTACATTTTTCGCCTCGGCTTTACACTGCAAGCAAATATTCAAAAATTCGGCATTGCAGATTCGCAAAGAATACCCAGGAGATACGAAAAGTAGCAAAAATCAACTTGCTATGAAGATAATCAACTAAACCGAAATTTCATAACTTCAAATTCTCCTCAAAAGCACAGAAATTTCATCAGTCACTAAACCGAATTGCTAAATAATTATGTTATAGGTAATTAAATTTTGAAACAGAAAATTAAAGATCTTCACAAGAATGAAACTCTAAAACCCTAAAAATTGAGAGAAAATAAAGAACGTGGATTACCATGTGGGGGTACTTGTCTTGATCAACAACCCTAGTGTTTTCGAGCTTAATGTTGAGGTACTGATCCACCGAATGAAGGGTTCCCCGTAGGGCTAAATCGTTCTTTAATTCCACTGTCACTTCTCGTCCCACCAAATCCTTGAAGTACGAGAAGAACAACTGCACATCAAGTCAAAATAAACCAAATCCAATTAAATTACAAACAAAAAGACGCAAAATAATGAAGAAAAATGCATTACCATATTTTCTTTTGTGTCAGAGAATTGGGGATTCTATTCAGGGCATCGATAAGTATGTGAGAAGCTGAAGTGGTGCGCCTCAAAACCTTGAAATACTGGCGGGTTAACAACATTGCTGCATTTATTTCCAATGGCAGGCCGAACCGGGTCCGTGAGCCGGCTCGATTTTTGATTCCCAAGAAACAGACAAAATATCTTTCTATATAAAAAGTGTCTATCTAACGGAATTTGTTGGTTTAACCGAAAAACTAATGAAATTTCTTGGTTTAACGGAAAAACTAACGGAATTTCTTGTTTTAAACAGGCAGCTGCACCTTCTTTCAGTATTTTTATCATATCTTTGTATTCCGAGATCCGAATGAGGCGATTCAAAATGCGTTGGAAAGCTAACTCATTTGGCTACAACATTGATTAAGCCATCATTC